CACATTGCTGTCTCCCCTGTATCCCATCTCCAGCACACACAGTTCATGTCCCAATATCCATGCCAGTAGTAAGATGATAGCCTCTTCAGTTACCATTTGTATTTTTAAGGAACACATAACTGGATAAAGTTTGTGGTCTTTTTGTATATGACTGGAGTGTTGACTTAAACGTACGCTTTTTCATTTAAATAGAATATAACCCATTTTGCTGCATCCCACCCCTGCATAGAGGAGATGGCATGCTGTGCAAACATAGGGAAGAAGGTATGGAGAGCAGGGATACTCCTACAAATTAGATTTGTGTCCTCTGATGTGGGAGATTTGGCAAAGAAGCCAAAGTGGAGTACAGCTCCGCTTCATGTCTTCGGTTCACGGCTGGAAAATTTGAGATTCATGTGACATCACAGATCAGACTATTTCTACAACGGGAAATGCACTTAACCATTTTTATTTCAGTGGTCAGATCTCTTGCTAACAAATGAACATTGTGCACTTTATTCAGACACTGGGTGGGGGGTCTATTTAAAACAGAGAGCAGATATTGTTATCTGCTGTACACCTCTGTGTCCACACGGTGCTGGCATTTAATGTTCCTACATTCATAAAATGCAGAGCACAGTTTGATACCTGCGGATTTCTATAGAGTGAGTTTCACATAATGCTTCAGAGAACACTATGATAGTTGGAGAGTCCAGTCCTATTCATTCAGTCACTTTCATAGGTCATGTGACCATGCCCTTCTCCCAACACATATGGAAGCTTTTAATTCCCAATGATTTGTATTTGTCTGTTAGATCCTGGGATTTGCACAGTTCTTCCACACAGCACATCCCTATCTAGCAAGCAGGGGAGCTGACTTTTTTTTTTTTTTGCTGTAATTTCATTTTTCACTTTCAGGTCTGCTACACAACACCACCCTTTGACTAAACCAAGAAAGGAGAAGCTCTCTCCTCCTATATTCATGCTTCTTGCACTGTGGCACAATTGACTGGCTCCTTGTGCTGCTTCTCCATTCTCCTCTCTTAGCTCTTCTCTACAGTAGACTCTAATTGGCTGATACAAAGTCAGATGTAGGAATTTAATCTGCTTGCATTTAAAAATAAATGTATTAATGGTAACAGAGCTGCATTAATTTGTGTCTTGAGTTCAGCTTTAGAGCTTTAGAGCTCCTTTAATGCCGTACCGCTGCTGTATAATGAGATCTTTATGAAACCGGTAGTACCTTGATGAAAATGTAATTACAGATCCCTATTTTGCTCTGTGTAAGTCTTTGTTTATGTTCAGTTTGTACCGATGACATTCTCATAATGGTGGTGTTGTGTTCTCTCCTCCAGTCCTCTTTTCTCAGCAAATGTGTTTTCACAATTCAGAGAATTTATTGCATAACAATGCAGAACAAAGATGAACTCAGACACATGTTGCCTCTTGCCAGAGATTTGTATATTGTTCTGTGACTGTGCACCAAAAATAAATAATTCACACTGGCCAGCTGGGTATGGCATGCTCTTATTTATATTTATATATATATATATAACATCCATATTGAAGAAAGAATCCTGCCTAAAGTCAATGTAATGTTTCCCCTGTATTCTTATTTGAAAACTTGTTTCAATAAAAACGTATTAGTTTGAGTTAAATTTGTTATTAACATTTATTTAGTTTTACCTCTTACAGTTGACTATTTTTTTCAAACTCTCTTTGATCAGCAATACTAAGGGGTCCCAGATTTTAGTGCTGTAATAGTTTTGGTGATGTGTAATGACTTTTTTTTTTTTTTTTTTTTTTTAACATGTAGCCTAGTGTACATAGCATTCACTGCATTACAATCATGGCATAGCATGAGGACAAGGCAATGACGATCCTCCTCATCTGTACCCACATGATGGTCAGGCATGCTTTTCCCAGTGTCTAAGCCATAACTCCCAACTTTCTGAGACGAGAAAGGGGGACACCTTCCAGCACAATAAATGTAGGAATTGGTTGCACCCCTACCACTCCCCCAGTTATGCGAACCATTAAGAAAGGACTGGTAATTTTACCTGTTAAAAAAAAAAGAAAGGACTGGTAAAACCCAGAATTGTTTATTTTTCTCACCATTACTTTTCCTTTTATTCTGGCCTTTTAAAATAGAAAACCAGATAATTAGAAAATAAGATGAAGGTTTTAGTTCAGAATTGGGATGCACCTATACCGTTTTTTCGGCATCGAGTACCGATATATTTTTTTCCGGTACTCACTGATACCGATACTGGAGGTCCCATTGAGGAAGCCAGGGGGCGTGTAATGACTTGCTTCCTGATTAGCCGGGAAGCCGGGCGGCATGTAAAGACTGGCTGGCTTCCCGATTACCAGGCATGGGGTTCTCTGACACTACTTCTTAGTAATGATTGCACGGATTGGAATGGGACCAAGTGCCCCATGCATGCAGTCTCCTGGGGGGTTTCAAAAACTTTCATTTGAAGTGATACTGCGTAGCGGAACTACAAGGGCCGCATGTGCGACCGAGCACTGGCGTTCTGCCACTTGGGATGGGGGGGCAGAAAGGAAGAAGGGGCCCCGGTAACATATAGCTCCCAGCAGACCAACGCTCGACTGACTGCACTACTCCACCCGCTGTCCAATCAGCAGCTCCCATTCTGTAGCTACTTATTATGCATACTCTTCAGACACTGACGAGGGAGAAGCTCATTGATCACCATAAAGGGGGTGGAGCTCTGAGCTGAATAATGGAGGGGGTGTGTCCGGGTTTGTTGTAAGGTGGAGATGTGTGAGTGAAATCTTTTATAGAACACACAATGCTGAATGCACAGAATGTTTTACCCTCTATCAGTGTTCCATTTCACTTCATTGTCTCCAAAGCAGTGGCGGAACTACCAAGTTCACAGTTGTCGCATCTGCGACCGGGCACTAGCGTTCCGCTACTTGGCGGCCCGGAAAGGAAGAAGAGGGCCCAACCCTGGTAACCGCAGAGGCACCGACATTGCCTCCTGGGACTACAGCTCCCAGCAGTCCAATGCTCCGGAGCGGGGATAGGGGGCCCTTCATGGTTTCTTGCATCGGAGCCCTGAGTTTTCTAGTTGCGCCTCTGGTGATACTTCTCCTTTAAGTAGCATTATTAGGAGGACGGTGGCAGCCTCCATGTTTCACTCATGACAGGTTTCCTTTTTAACACCACAACAATGTTTTTGTTATTCGACTCTTTTGAAAGGGTCCTTATTCTTGAAGACACTGAATAACTTTGCCTACCTTTTGTCATACTGCAGACACCAGAATGGTTGGACAGTGACTCCTGTCAGAAGTGTGACCAGCCGTTCTTCTGGAACTTCAAACAGATGTGGGACAGCAAGAAGATTGGCCTCAGGCAGGTGTGTGTTTTATCAGACAGGGTGGGAACTGGCCAGGTTAGTGTGTAACATGTTGATGATATACCTCATCTACTGTCATTTTTAGTTCAGTTCTTATGTTTGGGGTTCCCAAATGGTTGCCGCAGAGTACATTGTATGCGAGGAGACATCATGTGCACAAGAGCGTTCTCATTGGCCATCTTCCATCTCCATGAGCAGTCATATTCCCAAACTCCAGAACCTGAATGTACTTTCCATGCCTTTGGGGTTTATGTCATGAACGTGCTGTGGATAAGGTGATGTGGCTGAAGGTTCAGAGAGCCAACTCCCTGTATATGATTTCAGGACATTGCTAGTGCACATATTCAGAACAAAACATGGATCATGCTGATCACTTGATTGGAGATGTATGTTCTTTTCCCCACTACTCTGGTGGCTCTAGGTATCATGACTGGAATTGGGGATAACATATTTTTTCTCATTATTGTGAAAACATCCCTCTTGATAGTATGATGATCAGTTATATCCAGAGCATTTACTTTGTGGTTACATGTATGCGTACCTTTCTAAGTTAATATACAGTAGGTAGAAGTACTTAAAGAGTAATACATTCAGTAATATAGGCAATGAGAGAAGTGAGAGAGAGAGAGAGTTCATCAGATGTCAGATTTATGCTCAGCTAGTTAAAGAAAAGGGACGTGTTAGAGACTCTGTCGGGTTTCATTTTTTGCAATAAATAAGAGGTTCATTGGTGGAGCAAACATGAACAATGTTATTCAAATACAATGTACTTTGTATAAGCTCCATACACAGACAGGCAAAAAGAAGCAAATTATACAGTACTTACAATTCCAAAGGCCAAAGTGGGAATACAGGCGATATGGGTGCTATGTGCAACAGTTTGGGAACCACATGGGGAGCTCATGGCCACACTCTCAACTAGACAGTAAGGCCCCATTCACATGAGGACTTGGCTGTGTTCTGGGATTCTTTGCGGCAGGAATCCAAGGTGTCCCCATTCAGATGCGGTCCGCTGTACCCATTGAAAGTAATGACAGCGGCTACATCTTTTAGTGGCATACATGGTACTTTTACATGTGGTTTGGGATGATTGTCGCTCGACACAGACAGATTCCATCCAGGGACAATCATTTATCCTGAACCCCATGTAATCATACCATGTACCCTTACCTGTGGACTGGCACTGAGAGATCCGGCCACTGTCACCCAGTCATTACCTTCTGTGGGTACAGTGGGCTCATCTAAATGGGACACCCGGGATTCCTGCTGCAGAATTTGTAGTTCCCAGAACACAGCGTGTGAATGCAGCCTAAGAGTAATGTGGTTCGCTAGAGAAAAATACATTTGTAGTAGAGTGAGAAAGAGTTGTTGTACAGGCATCACAGGAACAAGTGCCCACAGAGGTGTCACAGACCAAAATTAAAAGCTGACAGAAAATTGAATTCTTCCCTATACTGTCCAGAAAAAAAAAAATATTCGGCTGGTGTTGAGCTGGCTGTAAACTATTCAATCTAATTTCACAATCTCCTTTCCAGTTACCAAAACTATGTGATATGAGGATACACCTAAACAACTGACTAGTATCAAACCAGACAGGCCATTGCACTACATAAAGGATGGTACTGTAGATCTAAATGAAACCATTCCATAAGATTCTATAGGGTCTGTCAGCCTAAAGCTCACCACACATCTTAGAATGTGATTGTGCAATCTCCTTTAGATCTACCAACAAATTAATATGAAAAAAAAAAAAAAGATCTACCAACAACTATATAGTGCAAGGACCTGACTGATTGGCGATGCATTGATTGGATAGCTTAGGAAGGTCCTTTATATTACATCATTTTGGTAAATTAAAAGTTGAATTATTAGGTTTTAAACTAATTGTAATTGTTTTCTTACGGAAAGCAAACTGACATGTCTTTAAATTTTGTTACGTCTTGCCCATACAACTCACAGGGCACATTCTATACAAATGAATTCAATTGAAATTGCAGCTACAGCTAATTTTATAGTTTTGAGTAGAATGGAGATGAGTTAGAATGTCAGTTAGGGATTTATTACTGTGTCCACATTGGGGGATTTCCCCTCACTTCCTGTTCTGGCACAGAAGACCCTGTAGGTAAATTCCACCTTTGACAGTTGTGACCAGAGCAGGCGACTCTTAGATTTCTCCTATAGTCCCAGTGACAGCTCAAAAATGTTAGATTTGCTGCACTTTCTACTGGATAAAAAGTGAGAGCTGATGTCCATATATAAGGTCACAAATAGAACCTCTGGTTATTACTAACTCTCTGCTTTCCCCAAAACTAAATGCTTTGGCCGTGGCTTTCAGTCCCATGAACAAACCCTTTTTTTGCGGTTTAGAAAGTGTGACTATAAGATGGTGGTGTAATAGTCAAAGTTGACCATGAGGTGGCACCAGAGAGCCATTGTGAAATAAGAGTAGATATCCTTTCTCCAGCTAAACTTCTGCGGTGCTATCGGCTATGATAGAAGACCTCCAGACAGAAATGTTATCAGGAGTGGGACTATCCGTGCACTGCAAGGGTTAACTGCTCGTTTTTGCCTAGGGTAAAAAGAAAGTTATATTCACTCGATCCTCGGAGCTGGCAGCACTCCATCGATGGAATGTCCTTCGGCGTCCTCACGTCCTATGCACTGTATTGGACATGATGACTCGAGGATTCCTAGACAGCTGCAGCGGAGGGTGAGTGAGGCTCCAGGGACCGGTCAAAGAGCCAGCAATGTTAGATGATCGGGTGAGTATGGTAGCTAATTCCATGTTCTATGCTAGACCCATCTTTAGGGTGGAACACGGTGCCATTCCGTAGCCTCCCTCACCCTCCCCCCCCACACACACACGCACACTGCCATTTGCCAGAATTAAAGGGTGCTTCCCCTGTAGGCTCCTGTATATGTTTTAATTTTAGAGTGTGGCCCTGCCTGCACAGCCTCATCATTCATTCACAAGTCCATTTACAAGATCAATATATGGAGAAACTACAAGTACAGTCTGCAACGGCAGCAGAACAACTCATGGTTCTCAATGGAGTACATATACAGTAATACCTTGGTTTACGAGCATAATTCGTTCCGGCAGCATGCTTGTAATCCAAAGCGCTTGTATATCAAAGCGTATTTCCCCATAGGAAATAATGGAAATTCAGACGATTCGTTCCACAACCCAAAATTATTCATATAAAAATGAATACAATACAGTACTGTAATATAATACTGTACAAAATATAAAGAAAAATAAACTGATTACCGGTACCTTCGTGGCTGGTGTGAGGGGGACAAGAGAGAGGAGGATTATTGTGTAGGACGACTTTCACTATCACTAACGGAATCACTGCTATCTCTTGACTGAATGGAATCTTTTTCATTTCGTGAAACCTTAACAAGGTATCTATCCAATGTGACATTGCATTGTTGTTAAACAGTCTCATCGCTCGCAATGCTACAGCCTTATTCGGGTGGCGCTTTTCTGCAGAATTTTGCTCTTATTGCAAGACATTTGCTTGTATATCAAGGCAAAATTTTTCAGAAATGTTTGCTTGTCTTGCAAAACACTCTCAAACCAAGTTACTTGTAAACCAAGGTATTACTGTACAGTGAGGTCACCACACTTGTAGTCCATTGTTAACTTCAATGGTGGTGACAGCATTATGCTTTGGGTCTGTTTTTCTTTAGCTGGAACTGGGGCTTTTGTTAAGGTGGAGGGACTTATGAGCAATTCCAAATATCAGTACATTTTGGCACAAAACCTTCAGCCCTCTGCTGAGAACAGAAATTTCACCTTTCAGCATGACAACAACCCAAAGCATACCACCCAATCAACAAAAGAACGGCTTCACCATAAGAAGATCAAAGTTTTGGAATGGCCCAGCCAGAGCTCAGACCTGAATCCAATTGAAAATCTGTGGGGTGACATGTAGAGGGCTGTGCACAGGAGATGATCTCACAATCTGACAGATGTGGAAGAGTGGGCAAAGATTTGCAAGGCAAGATGTGCCTTGCTCATAAACTACTCCCCCAAAGGACTGAATGCTGTCATAAAATCAAAAGGTGCTTCAACAAAGTATAGTTTGTACATATTTATGCAACCATGTTTTTTGTAAGGTCCCCCCCCTCTCCCCTTTTTAAAGATTTTAATGCAAAACAAAATAAGTAAATGCACATTTTTTTCTTTTTGCGACGTGTGCATTTATGATTTTGTTTGCAAAAAGTGGAATATGCCTTTAAGATGATCCTGATATGTAGGCATAATGGAATCTTAGATATAACGTTGTGTTTTTCTGTTTTGTTACATCAGCACCATTGCAGGAAATGTGGGAAAGCGGTATGCGGTAAATGTAGCTCTAAGAGATCCTCCATTCCTCTCATGGGATTTGAGTTTGAAGTCCGCGTGTGTGACAGCTGCTACGACACCATCACAGACGATCAGTAAGTGATATCTGTATGACTGATGTGAACATCTTCCCATTCATCACTATAGAGAAGGTGTTGGCTATAACAACCAATCAGATTCTAGATATCATTTTTCTTTAACAGTTTAGAAGATAAACCAAACATCTGTTTGACTGTTGTGATGAAATCACCTTTCATTTTTCTAACTGCTAAAGGTTTTCATGAGGGATGCACGGTACCTTTTGTTTCAGACTGAGTACCGATACTTTTCTTCAATTACTTGCCGATACCTATTACTAATACCTTTTTTTTTTTAACGCTCATGTGTGACAGTTTTTCCTAAAACAATACAGACTAATGATTTCAGGACAATGGTGGAGCGCCAGGGCACTGTCACAGCTGCATCCCTGGTATTTCTGCCACTGACTCCAAGCTGTAGAGAGACTACAAATCTCAGCAATACATAGTCACATATTAGTCAGGTTGAAAAAAGACACAAGTCCATCGAGTTCAACCTATAGAGATAAAAGGTCCAAGAGGAGAAAAAAAGAAACCTAAACAGAACGCTATGCCCACAGTTAGCTACTGTTGATCCAGAGGAAGGCAAAAACAACCCTAACCCTGGATCAACAATTTCTGATGCTTAATATACCTACAAGAACTCAATATCCAATAATATTCTGTGTATTTAGGAATACATCCAGAGTTTTTTTTAAACAGTTAACTGAGCTCGCTAGAACTAGTTCCTGGTGGAGTCATTTTCACAGCTCTAGCTGTGAAAAATCCTTTCCATATGCAAAGGTTAAACCTCTTTTCCTCCAGACGCAAAGATTGCCCCCTTGTCCTTTGCAGTGACCTTAAGGTGAATAATTTGGCACCAAGCTCACTATATGGACCATTAATACATATAATACATTATATAGCAATGCAGAATACCACCAGCTATAGAGGACTACAAATCCCTGCAATACATTATACAGCAATGCAGAATACCACCAGCTATAGAGGACTACAAATCCCTGCAATACATTATACAGCAATGCAGAATACCACCAGCTATAGAGGACTACAAATCCCTGCAATACATTATACAGCAATGCAGAATACCACCAGCTATAGAGGACTACAAATCCCTGCAATACATTATACAGCAATGCAGAATAATAGAATATGTATTTTCTAAATACTCTGTGCTGCCACTCTGCTCCCGGGTGCCGCCCAGGTGTATGGCCAGGCAGAGAGTCTCTGAAGGGGTTCGGAGGGTCTCAGGAGGGGAAGAAGGCTGCCACTAGGTCCCCAGCAAACATGGGACCTAAGGCAGCCACTTCAATTTGAAAAATGTACAGTGCCCGTGTCGGTTTTTGGTATCGGGGCATTTTCATGAAAATGGCCAGTATCAGCACCCACCCTGGTATTGGCATTGGTGCATCCCTAGTTTTCATGAATGACCGTGGTGTGTGCAGACTATTCCTCCTGTACAGATTAATCTTGATGTCTGTTCCTCTTCTCCTTTACAGACGAGCTCCAACTGCATCTTTCCATGATAGTAAACACAACATTATCCATGTAAATTTTGATCCAACAAGGGTTTGGTTATTGACTTCAGGAACAGACAAGATCCTTAAGGTCAGTAATGTGGTCCTTTAATATTTTACCGATTTTATAGCAATGCCGCATATGATAGCACTGTGTAGAATACTTCCCACCCACTGCAGTCCCTGCCCTTGAAGTGTACAGTCCACTCAACCACATTCTGCAGCTGTCTTAAATATAAGCTTGAAGGGAATTGCCGCCTCAGCTATGCACATTGGAAGGCTTAGAACAAACATTATTGTACTTGTTCACCTGCTTCTCCCTTCATAATCGGGCCGTTTCAGAGCACTTGCTGAAATCTTTCAAAATAAGTACCAAGTGGATGGGACTGCCTTTGTTGTAATTAAATGGACAGTAAATATATCATAATAAACATTGCACCCCAGCAAGTATCTTTGACTCCATTAGCTGCATTCCAGGGTACAGTCTCAGCAAGTATTGTCCACACACAGCTAGATAACTAGCATTTTCAGATGCTGCTTAGCAATGACAGCGACATTTTTGTCAGTACAGGTTTACTTTGGCCCAGCTCCAGGCAAAACAGGTTTATTTAGGTTCTGCTTTGGGGATAATCTGTAACCACTGTTGGGTTCCATTCACACGGATGACAAGGGGAAGTTAAAATCAGACAGTTTATCTGTGGGTTTACCCCCCTTCACCCAGTCGCTGCAGCAATGTCAGCACTGCGGCCGAACTGTGCTGTATACATTGTAGCAGCCGCGATGCTTTGCATCACATCAAAATATATACAGCTTGTTACATTTGGCAGGCGGTACCGCTTGTGAAACGCAATCATTGCAATAAATGGCACCGCGCCGCAACCGTGTGGGTAAGTGCCTGTGATGCGGTCTTGCAATAGAAAGTCCCCATTGGGATTTTAAAAATAAACTGCATTCAGGAGGCGGCAGTATCTGTTTCCTGAACGCTGGGCAACCAGTGCTCCACCTCCCTCTGAAAAGTCATCTGCAGTTGATCACTTTTCAAAGGGTGGTGGAGGCTGCTGCCCATGTGAACTCAGCCTTAATGCACCCATACACTGGCCGCATTTCGGCTGTTTTTTAATGTACCGGACGAAATTCGCACAGTGTGTGGGGCTGTCGGCTCCCTTCCAGCCGGCATTCCTCGATCAGCTGAAGGAGTCTGCTGGTAAATCTTCATGTGATCAAAGCCGGCAGCCAATGAGCTTTCTGCTCTGATCAGGTATTATGGCAGGTGCCGGCGGCACCTGTCAGAATAACATGCAAACAACAGCGATTCCTCGATCGACACGCTGTTTGTGTTGACCTGATGGAGGAATCACATCAATTTTTTTCGTTCAGCCTGCGGGTTGAAAGAAAAAAGTTGACCGGTGTATGGCCAGCCTAAATCTGCCCATACACCTATAGATTTCCTGCAGATTTTCTATGGTCAGATGGAAAAAGTGCAACAGATTCCTCCATCTACGCTAAACTGTGTGGATGGAGGAATCTCCCACTGGGCCAAGCTTCAGTGTCTTCCTAGTCGGCCCCGCTGGCTCTCAAAATACCTGAACAATGCCTGCATCCAATCAGATTGTTCAGGTACTTTAAGAGCCAGCAGGGCCGACTAGGAAGATACTGAAGTTTGGCCCAGCAGGAGATTACTCCATCCACACAGTTTAGCGTAGATGGAGGAATCTGTTGCACTTTTTCCATCTGACCATAGAAAATCTGCAGATAATCTATAGGTGTATGGCCAGCAGCTTTAGTGTTTAATTGCCATCTGTGTCTATTATGGAGATTTCACCCTACTTCTTGTGCTGGTGACCACACAGGTATTGAGGAGATCTGCTTAACAGGGACAGATGCAAATATATATATATAATGAGAGAGATTCGTCTCTGTACTCGTGTTTAAGAAGTCTTGCTTCCACTTTCTGTCTGTGTGACCGCACAGAAAGTAAAAAGTCTCTCCAATGGTCAAGTCTTGAACATGATGAGAAGAAAATAAGAAGTCACCAGCACTCAGAGTCAGTACTTAAAGGTGCAAATGTACTCTCATTTATTAATAATGCTTCACATTAGTCAAATAAGCCAATGTCTGGGGGCCACGCAGGGTCCCTGCCTCAGGGAGACATAGTCACTATGCACCTTTTATGTACTGAGTGCTGGTAACTTCATCTTATTTTCTGCTGTGGATCTACACGCACCGTCCGTGATCATTACTACAAGCATCACCATATTCAGTTTGGTCGTAGTGCTGTATGGAATGCCGCTGGCATCTACACCTTTCCTTTTGTACATGATGAGGTTTTAATATGTAGAGATTGATTAAAATATATACCAGTACATTACACCACACTTTTACAGAATGAAGGAAGCCTGTAGTGAGACAACCATTGGTGCCCATTCCTTATGAAAATGCTGACTTCTCCTGCTGACCCCCTTGGCATCAGTACAAAGTTACTGACCGAGCACAAGCCTGCAGATCGGGGGTTCTGACTTGCCACATGTTACTTTGTTCCAGGTCAGCTTTTCAGGAGGCTTCATGTTCCACTCATTGCAGTTTTTTCTTTTTTTAATGTACATTGATTAATCCTGTGCTTCTCCTACCACAGCTGTGGGATATGACTCCGGTGGTATCTTGATGATGATCTATGGACAGATCCTGACAACAGACACATGGAGTAGAAGACTCTGAGGACTCTGGAGAGCATTAGCCAGACAATCTAGAAGTTAAGGTTTTATATTCAGTCTTTGGAGTGGAGAGCTCGTCATTTTTAACTGCTACGGTGAAGAGTGTTATGAACTAATCTGAGCCGGGACTCATGACTGCTCCTCCTCGTTTGAACTGAACTTTCTTTCCAGTGTATTGATTTAGTTTGGAGTTTACCATACGGAGATTTCTTGTGCTGCGTTCTGGAGTTGTAAATGGTTCCTTCCCCTAGTGAGAACATTTTTAGGGTTCACTCATTTTAACCCTTCTCAGCCTGTTGCATTTCATTGCTTGCGTGTACTGCAGTTTTCAGGTGGCCCCCAATATGCATGGTGGCGTCTTATGACAAAACAGCCCAAAACTATTTAGTACATGAATGGCAGCTAATTTATTCTGGGTTATATGCTGCATTTTATCTCTGCAGTTTCACACCAGTAGATATGGATAGTAATATTTGGAATATACTGATTATTACAACCATCCTTAAAGGGGGATGATGACATGTTAAGGCCGCTAAACCTAAAATGCCAGTAAACGCGCATAACAGTTACTACTTGGAGATGAATTCCCCATAATTAAAGAGCTCGGCTGTTTCTAATTCCTCGTACAACAGACTGGAACAAGACTGGATGCAGAATCCAAGGACTAACATGAAGTCACCTGTCTGTAGATTTCAGATCTGTACTTCACTAAGCGCTATTTAGGTCTGAAATAGCAACAATACATCACTCTAGTTTTAGTAAAACACTCTTCTATACCCTTCTCCATCACCAACACATGCTCGAGCTTTACCGGTGTGTGGCTTGGAGAAACACAAGAACCACAGTGATGTGGCCACTGTGGTTCACTAATGTGCTTTCTGGTAAGACAGCCAACACATGGCAGTGGACAATGCACAGCATGTTAATGTCAAGTCTGTGTGTACTGTATATACATATACACACCCCTACCTTGTATTTTAGGTTTAGTGGCCATTTGTCAAATCTAAAAAAAGCCATAAAAATCCCCTCAAGAGATTATTTTATGCTGCAAGTAAAATGACTCTCCTCCTGTTCACCTATGTGTGATGATCTGCGTTTTCAGCACAAGAAAAGGTTGCTGCTAGGACACAGAACATAATTGTTTTCTTTGTGCCCCATTCATACTACAATGCTGGTGTGATGTGCACTATGCAAAAATGCAGACATTCTGCATTATTCTGCAGCGTACCGGATGGCACCGCATGTCTGTGCAGCACCCTGAATGGAGTGTAAACTCTTTTGTTTGTAAACTCTAAATAGAGATAAAAAGTCAACTGTGATGCACTGTTTACGCACGGACGCTAGATCCCTCACCGCAAACTAGCCCGTCCGTTAAAACGTAGCGCTTTAGTGAGTTGACTAGAGTGAATGAACCTATGCTGACATATACAATGTGGAGGCTGCCATTGCAGAATACCTGAATCTGAAGCTTTGGTACTTGGAGAGTCAACACCTGGACCAGGTATGCAGCCTATGAAGTGAAAGCTGACCTGCGTTCTTGTTCTGGGTCAGTCAAAGTATTGAGGCCACTGAATCACAGGCAGACGGCAGCCTCTATATCTCTCTCAGTACAGTCTTTTCTTTTATGACTAGTTGTCTCAAATGAGCTGTGTGAGTGAGTTGGGTTCTGTGTATTGGGAAATATCCCCCAGGTTCAGTCCAACACCTGAACACTGCAGAGGAGAAATATGCATATTCCGCAGAAACCAAATATTCATTCCATTCAGTGGTCTCTGTGTAAAGAATGTGGATTATCATGATTTGGTACTGTAGCCTTAACTCATGGTTCTTAGGTACCAAAAGATGTATACATATATACATACGCACGTTATTCTACAAGCATGTATCGGTAGTGGCAGTAAGAAACGTGAAGGAGCAACTGAGGGTTTCCTGGCCAGCTGAGCTTTCTTTCACTGGAGCTACCAGTAGTGCCCATTGGCTCTCCAAATGAGACTCAGTTGGAGTGGAAGGACAGTGTACATCTCGTTCAAGGAACCAGATGATCGGTATTTCTTTCTGTGGATATCATTTTTCTTATTACAAATGACTGTTTTGTTGATTCCAAAGCGGGCAGAATCCTTTGTCCCAACTCTTAATTCTGAATGAATTATAGAGGAAAACAAAGCAAGTCCACTAAAATAATGTCATGCAGCAGAACTAGGGTTATAAGAGACTTGGAGTTGGAGTCCCGCACTCTCCATTGTTCCATGTAAGCACAGATATACCAATCTGCTTGCCTTTGATGTTTAAACATTGGAAACATACATTTTCTATGGGATCAGGAGAATGAAAGTATTCAGTAATATCTGGCAAGCCAGACATACCAAAGTTATTTCGGTTAGACATTTCAGGTTGTTATTTGAAAGCTAGATAATGCAGATGTCATATCATTAATGTCTAAGTATTATGCAAAATGTGTATTTCTTAAGCATACAAGACTCAGGATCATATTCAGAAACCATAGGTTATATGGACACTGGCAACCAAAGTTGTATGGACGGCCCAGTATAACCCCTCCCACCCCCAGCATGCCTTAGTTTTTTGCTAGTGTCCTTAGAACTGGAAGTCTTCTCTCTGCTCTGAGAAAAGCAAACCACTTGTGTTACTTTTACCAAGATCTTCTTCTAGTAAGGTTTCTCAGCTGCTTCATAGTCACTGCGGCTTTTTTTTTTTATGCAGCTTCCGGATCGGTTAACACTATGGCTGTGCCTTTGGGGGACTGTATCCAGACCCTACCAAAGAAAGTATGGGGGCTGGCTTGTAATGTTGCTTTGGGCACTGAACTGTGTGTTAGGGGCTCACCTTGTCCGCTCCCATATTTTTACTTTGTAGTCCAGGAGCCAACCAACCCTCTGTTTTTACTGGAGGGGCTTAGGCCTAATGGTATCCTCTTCAAAGCGGTTCCATATGCCTGATTTCACGCCAGACCATTGCCACACAATATTCTGGCAACGTTGGACAATAGGATGCATTCTCTGAATGATCTCATATGTCGGAAAAGGGGATCACACGTTCATTGCTGAAATTGGAGAAATTCCTCCTCTCACAGGATGGAATCTAGCATAAGCACTATCCCAACCAATCGGCTGGGAAAAAGTCCTAAATAGTTCTCAGAAGTCTCATAAGTAGAAGCGGATTGCATTCTAGCTTGGGTGGAATTACACATTCCAGTCCTATCTGCCATTCTCAATGGCAAACAGACTTCCTCAGTCGTCAGTGTCTGAACTTCGGAGTGTAGTCAAGAACCAGCTGCACTCCTTTAGGAATAGTAGTAAACCTGCCAAGCAGGTGGGTGCTTGTAGTGACCACGGAGGGCCCAGTGAACAATGCAGATCTGGGAAGGATTGTCACCAGCACACCAAAAGTTTTGAAGCAAAAAGTCCTTTATTGACAAATCGCCATCCAATACAAGCGCTTTCGGGGTCTCGACAGTACCCCTTCATCAGGCTCAGACAGCGCTTGTATTGGATGGCGATTTGTCAATAAAGGACTTTTTGCTTCAAAACTTTTGGTGTGCTGGTGACAATCCTTTCTTGAACTTCGGAGTGGTCTCTTCACTTAGAGGTGTTCCAGGACCTCTTTCGCCTGTGGGTAAGGGCCCGTTCACACCAGTTGCAGTGCGTTCTGGCTGGAACACACTTAACGTCAAGTTGTCTCCAGGTACAGGGATCCTCATAGTACTCAAACCTCCTTAGTCTCCTGGCCAACGCTCCATGGGCCTGGCCAGGTCATCCAAATCTCCTGTTCCAGGGTCCAGTTTACCACCCTGCTTTGCAGTCATAGGTTTTCACGGTTTGGCTGTTACAGCCCAGGTCCTGAAGGATAGGGGCCTCTCTGGTTCGGTTGTCCCCATGCTCTTGAAGGCTAGGGAATAGACTTCATGCTAAGTCTAACATCACAACTGAAAAAGTTTATTCCACTTCGTGCAAAACAAGGAATTTTTATTCCAGGAGGTACTTCAAAGGACAAATCCTGTCTGCTCTAGATCATCATGTAGTCTTGAGTACCATCAAGGGCCAACTCTTGCTTTTCATTTGTGAAAGCCTTTGTGCTGGGTGTCACTTATACTGGTCTTCCTGTACATTCCACAGTGACATCATGGGATCTCAAATCAGTTTTCCAGAAACCGCCCTTTGACTTATCAGATATATTTCTCTGTCTACTCTCTCGCAAAGTTGCCTTTATTGTTGCCATCATCCCTGCAAGGTGAGTTTCTGAGATGACGGCCTTAATCTGTTCGATCCTTTCTTTGTCTTTCACAGGGATAAGGTCATTTTTTTGCCCAGGATGGTTTTCCTCTTTTCAAATTAACAGGATATTGTTTTGCCTTACCCTGTTCCCAATTAGTTTTCTCTCCACTGGTTGGTTGTGGTATACACTGTTCAAGCTTATCTTTAAGCTACAACATGACCCCTTCTGTCATTCTGAGGGTCCCCGTAAGGGAAACACCGGGGGGAGGCTGTGATTTCTAAAGAGGAATCTGATGGGGGGGGAGGGGGGGAAATCACTCATTCTTTTTTGTCTTTTTGCGTGTGGTCCCCCCTAAAATGCATACCAGATCCCATATGTTAAAGGGCCACACATAATTTTTTAACATTTACATTTTAGACTGGGGGTGCTTTGAGATTTAAAAAAAGGTGCCATGACTGAAATAAAGGCTGAGAAACGCTGCTTCATTTGCTTAAAGCATCAGGCATTTGTTTCTCAGAATGCAAGGCTACCGGCGGGCTTTCTGTTTTTCTTCTGCAGGTTTTGCGAGGTGGATCTTTAGGCCTCCACTGATGCCTGTTTCTGTCATTGGGTGCTTCTAGCAACTCTGTGAGCTCTGTCAAGCCCCTTCTGTTACCCTGTTGGTTTTTGGGGGTATTAGTATTTGTTTTCTGTATAGCCCAGCCCTCTGGACTACTTTTGGGCATCCTATGATGTCTGAATACCATCCTGTGTCCTGTAATGTACCATTAGGAAAAATAGGATTTTTGTCTTACCTGTAAAATCCTTTTTCTTGAAGTACATTACAAGACACAGGCCCCTCCCCTCTGTTTCTTATACAGGTGAAACTCAAATAATTAGAATATCGTGCAAAAGTAATTGCAGTAAGTGCTGCAAAAGGGGCTCAGACCAAGTACTGAGTACATATGCATGTTTGTAC